TTTATTGCGTTTCAGAGTTTACGGTGCGAAATACTTGAAAACGGTTTATTATAAGTACGCATTTAACACTGCATATTTATTGGCAATTTGTTGTAGCCATGGACATTGACATGGAAGAAGTCGCAGTTCTTGTCATCGTTGAGGATATAATGAATACATTGACAATGTTGTTTTTGATTGCCATGTTGTACCTGAAAATTGTGAGGCAAAAAAATCGTCGTCTTAGAATTCGAGAGCAAAATGGACAGGCTTTATTCAAAATGTCAGATCGATTACCCAGGCAATTACAACATATGCAAGAGCTTATATGCATTAGTGACAGAGTATGTGTGGAACAACTACGTATGGACAGAAATGCGTTCGGTCGTTTATGCTACCTATTGGAGCATGTCGGTAAACTAGAGAGTAGACGAAATGTGCAAATAAGTGAGCAAGTGGCAATTTTCTTGAGTGTGTTAAGCCATCATAAAAAAAACGCGGTGGTTAAGTATGATTTTAAACGTTCCGGTGAAACTATTAGCAAAATTTTTCACTTAGTACTTAGAGCCGTGCTACGCTTATATCCCATTATCGTCGTACAACCTAAACCTGTCCTGGAGTCCAACAATGACTGGAGATGGAAATGGTTTAAGGTAAATATTTATTAAATAATATGCATAACAAATAAATTGAAGTACATGTATGTTTCTTTGATTATTCGCGTATTTATTTTTAATTATGCCATCCAGGGATGCTTGGGAGCATTAGATGGAACATATGTTCCGGTACGTGTGCCTAGTAATTTGCACCCGAAGTACAGAAATAGAAAGGGTAGTGTGTGTGTAAACGTATTAGGCGTATGTGATGTGGATATGCAGTTTTCTTACATCTTGGTCGGGTGGGAAGGGTCAGCCGCAGACAGTAGAGTTTTAAGGGACGCGGTACGGCGACAACGTGGTTTACGTGTTCCTTCGGGTGAGAGTTTAGGTTTGCAAAAAGTTTCCATAATTAACACTAGGGTTCGTACACATAAATTATAATTTTGTATTCAAAACCGTTTACATAAGTTATTTCGGTTTGTTGGCTTCACAGGTAATTACTATCTTTGCGATGGTGGGTATACAAACGGTCCGGGCTTTCTAGCACCATTTAGGGGTGTGCGCTATCATTTGCACGAATTTGGTGAAGGTCCTCGAGCACCTAGAAATCCTAGGGAATTATTTAACCTTAGACATGCTAGAGCAAGAAACATGATTGAAAGGGCCTTTGGAGTATTGAAGATGAGATGGGCCGTCCTTAGAAGTAAAACATTTTTCGACATAGTCACTCAAAATAGAGTGATTTTGGCGTGTTGCCTTCTTCAAAACTTCATTCGTAGTACAATGAATAATGATCCAATGGAAGGTGACGATGTTGTTTTTGAAATGGAGTCAAACATGGAAGAACCGATACCCCCACCAAATGACTATGTCGAAGTGGTTGAGCCTACTAATGAGTGGACTACTTGGAGGGAAACACTAGCTATTTCAATGTTCAATGAGTGGCGTGGCAACAATTGAATTTGTTTTCGGTTATTTCATTTCTTTCATTGTAATGTTTATGTTGTGTAAGTCGAGCACTTTGATGCATTATGAATTGTACTTGCGTACTCTTGTTTGTTATGGAAATATTTTTTTGTTTTATCCTCCCAAATGTGTATTTTGTTATGTTGTTATTTTCGAAGTTCATTATCTTCCATTTATGGAGTCTTGTTGTATGTTGCAATCGTTTGACTAATTATGATTTAGCAATTAAATTTTACTAGTGATGGACTCTACCACTAGCATGGGACGTGGCCCAAACGTAAACAATCCACGGAGAAGTTGGACGATTGAAGAAGAACGTGCACTAATCCAAGGATTAAAGGAGCTCGTTGCACGTGGAATGAAAGCTGATAATGGGTTACGTTCCGGGTACACATTGTTTTTAGAACAATACATGCGTCAACAGTTTCCGGGAACTACAATTAGAGCCGAGCCTCACATAACGTCGAAGATTACGGTATGGAAAAAAAACTATGGTTTACTTCAACCACTGCTTCAGGAAACTTCCGGTGTTGGGTGGTCTGAATCCGGCCACATACTAGAAGTTGAAGAACCCGTGTGGCAAGATTATGTGAAGGTTTGGATTAATTCTTCTCTTTTACTTTACATTTTCTTCTTGCATACACAACTGCACTTCATAAGGGTATCCTGTGTTTAGAGATGTCCTGTTTTCGTCCTTCATAAGGTTACTCTGTGGTTTAAAAAACAGATCATACAGCTCATGTTCATTTCATTTCGGATTAATGAACTACTGTCCTTGAGGAGTTGAATTATTGTGGTAGTAATATAATGACTTTATTCACACAAAAAATGCACCAAATTCGATAGTTCACAAGAATGAAGAATCTGGTAGTATATATCTATGCCACTGGAAATATTTGCAAATTTGGTACAAATTACAATAATTCATTTCAATATCACGAGCTGAAAATCTCTCTTTGCATGAAGGTGTACCCAAAAGGAAAAGGATTGCGCAACAAACCTTGGCCGTTTTACAGTGATTGGGTAGACATTTTTGGAAAGGACCGCGCCACAGGTGAAGGTGCTGAAGGATTTGCAGATGCGGTGCAAGAAGTCCTAAGTAATACCGGTGACAATGCCCCTGCACAAAATGTAAGCAGTGGCGGGGGTGGTGGGGACTTCGAATCAAATGAGAATGAAATTCAGTCATCTCCGACCCATGGTGTTGAAAGTAGTGCATCCGGGAGGGGTAAAAGGGTAGGCAAACGTAAACGTCTTAAAGATGCGGAGGTTGAAGTCGTCGGCCTACTTCATACTCTATGCGAGAAGGCCGATAAACGCTGGGGTGAAATGGTGGAACGTATTGGGGTCCAACACGACGCAAAGGAGCAACGCAAGGTTTTGTACGAGGCGTTGAAGTGTATTCCCATCTTGACTACCGAACAAAGATTTATTGTGTCAAAGTACTTTTGTCGGAACAAAGAAGATATGGACGTCTTTTTCAGCGTGGACGACGAGGAAAAAGCGTCAATGGTAAAGATGATCTTAGAAAATAAATTGTAATTTCGAATTATGAATGATCTAAAACTTGGGTGACCTTCTTTTGTGTTTTTTGGCCTACTTTTGGACTAATATGTTTTGCGAATATGGCCTACTTTTGGACTAATATGTTTTGATATCCCCGGGAGTAATATGATTGTGGCTACTAAATTCCTGAGGAGACATATTGTAAAATGGGACATGTGGTTTGTGAAGGTTGTTGTGCAAATTATATGTACTTTCTCCTTCATTTTCATTGCGGCTGTGTGTGTAAAATATTGTCACGTCTAATTTGTGAATTTCAGTTGTTATCAACTGTATGACATCCACCTCATTGTTGGCTTTTTGTCGCACCACGTTATTGTTTTCAATTATTTTAAGTCGTTCGGTTTCTTTTATTCCACGTAATTTTATTAATTCCTTATTCATGGAAAAAAAATAAATTTACAAATCATACACAACAGATTATGAAATACGTGTTAAAATAAGAGAAAAAAACTCTTTTATTGTTTTAAAATATGTTATAATAAGAGAAAAAAAATTACAATATTGTTAATAAATTAATTTAAAAACTTGGTATGATGGTTATGAATAGATTTTCCATATAAAATATGTTATAGATAAAAAAACTTATTATAATATTACATAATAATATATATATTTTTATAAAAGGTATTTAAATTTTCAACTATTTTTTTTTTATTAATTTTAGATTTAAAAAAAATTAAAATTGAAGCAGTAATACAGGAGGTTGTACTTTGAATATATAATAACATATTTTTTTTATATTCATAACACAAAATGCACATTCAATTTAGAAACAAACATTTCTTATTTTTGTAGCCCATTTTTTTTTTTCGTTGTGGTATCGTTTGTCCGCACTTAAAAAAATAGCAAAACAAACCATCATGGCACTTCCTATTTTTCGTAAACTCCACATAAAACTTATTTGTGTGGCCAAAGAATTAAGGACATGTCTGCAACCACCGCCCCACCTAAACTTACTCAACCACAGAGGCAATTGAGTAACTTACATAGACCATCACATACAATTAATTGTCTTTAATGTGTAATTTAATGGAGACCTACCAAATGCACTCAACCACAACTCTCTCACGTCTTCCTATTTATTTAGGGTGTGTTATATTACACAGGTCAACTTCACTTTCAGCAGATTAGTTCCTCAAGCCAACTTACTCCCAGGTGATTCCTGCCATTACTTCCTATACGTTCCTATTATGTGTAACTGCCATTATTAACTTACATTAATAATGTTTGTGCTTGTATTACAGGCACCATCCGCTTAACAGTAATCCAATGGAACGTCATGCTAGCATGCTACGTATTGCCGAGAGATATCGTCGCCCCGGTTGGTCAGCGAATGAGGAAAGGGAGTGCTATCGACTTTTCTTCAACCTTTGTCGTGAAACGCCCGACGTCAATGTACCTGCCGTCTTCAACTCCTTATGGGCACAACTGTCGATCCAGCTGACCGAAGAGATGCTCCATTATTTCTCCGTGTTGATGGTTAAGAGTAAGATCAGGGCACTCCATAGGAACTTCCGGGATTTCCTCAGGTTTCTTGAGACTCCCGGTGTCGAAGTGCATGCGGAATCGGGTCTTGTGAATGTAAATCATACGTACTGGGCATACGTTGGGCGGGTATGTTTTACATATTCATGTGCATTATTTGTTACGTCCCAGGTCCATTTATTCCAGGAATGCATGCAACGTATAGGCAAACATTGTTGTCATAGTACTTTATATTGTATATTTTGATTGACCCCATTGACTTCGTAGGAAACGGACATGGAATATTATTTTCGTCATGTGGGGTTTCAATGGTACGAAGAGTGTGTGGACCTGTGGGATCTGAGACGTGCAGCTGGTGTGCACATCGGGGCCGGCGAAAGAGCCTATGACCCGATCATGTTTGACGACACCGATGAGGAAAACATTGCTGCCGATGACCCCAACGGGGCCAACGGTGATGATGATGCTGCGTTGGATGTCGGGAATGAACACGGTCACGGAGCCGCCGGTAATATGAAGGAAGTTGAAGATGACGCAGTGGAAGAAGTTTACGAGGACGAGTACGCGGCTGAAGCCGCCGCAGTGGAGGTGGTTCAAATTGAAGAAGACCACGCACCAGATGAAATGGATATCGACACAGACGTCGACTCATGCGTTGACTCAGACTAGATATAACTGTACGTGAAGGTAAGTCTTATTAGCGTTATGTAATGGCATAATTTGTAAAATATGGTGGGTGGAGACTGTAAGTCCGGTTGGGTTTGTTGTTCATGTCTGACTAAAACTAGAAGTTGTATGTTGTATGTGTAAGTGGCATAATTTTGGTTTGTACTACATTGCCACAGTCAGTCTATTTTGGGGGTGTTTTGTCGCAGCAGTTAGTGATTATTTTTAAAAACTGAAGTATGTTGGTAAGCTATGTATGTACGACTATTTTGGTCAAGTGCCTTTTCAGTTATGCACTATAAATTTTATGTAATATTTTTCCCTTTTTTTTTTGGTACAATAATATTTTTCCCTTCCAACCAGAGTATATACACATTATTCCTAAGAAACCATCCCTTGTATTACACACTTCCCAAGTTTCAGCTACCAAAGATAGAACTGAACACCTGTAAACAAATTAGAACTTAACAGACATCTATATATTCTCACAAGGTTGGACCTCTACTGTGTAATTTTAAAATAAGGGATGTTGCCATTTCATAGATGTCCACTGTTTTACCCAAAAACAAAAAAATTAGTTTGCAATATTTAACACACAAAACAGAATGCATTCAACGATAGGTAGGCTTACTTCAAACAAACGTGAATAAACTTGGTACATCAAAATATCTCCAACCATAATTGGTCTACATTTTAACCACTACACACTCAAAACACAGAAACACATTGGAATACATATATTAGGTGCCTAAGTTGAATCAGTAACATGCACCATACTTCAAACGTGAGGATCGCTAGTCGAACCCTTGCAAGACGCCGGGTTTGGCTTCTGCGGTGGACGTGGAATGCGCAATGGGGTTCGACTGCCCACCCTATTAATTAAGACATGGGCATGAGTGTTGACGGAGCTTTCGGACGAGGCATCGTGGGGCCCACCATGTTGGGGCTGAGCGTTATTGCGACTACAAAGACTCTGCAAAGCATTGTGATATGAATTATCTTCAACCACATTACTTTGTTCAACAGGGAGAGGAAAAAAAGCTTCGTTTGTGGAGTTGCGGTCATGAACAATTTCAGATCTTGGGTTTGTAGAGTACCCATCCTCGAAAATGAAACGCAGATCGGCCCAACGGGGGTCACCGGAATGTTGATAAGCAACACTAAAAGCATTCGACTGAAATATTACAGAAAATGAAATGTTTACACAAATTTCACTCACACGTATTACATAGGATTTTAATATGCAATATTTTCGTGAAGTTAAATTGTGTAATCCTCATGAGTCAATGAAAAAAAAAACTTATAACCGG